AAAGATGGCAAGGCTTTAATAGCATATTCTGCATAAAGACTTCTATATTCCAAAACAGGTACTGCTATGCCACATTTAACAATAAGGAGCAATGCAATACTGATCCCTCCTGCTTGCCTAGAACTTTCAGCTATCCTGAACAATTAAATACCTTTTTACGTGCTCCCAATAATAAAGAAATGGAAAAGGTATGCTAGATGTATGAATGCATCCTTGCAAAAGCATGGGATTACATGTGCTCACAATTCAACATTGAGTGTAACATGCCATGCCCAACTGTGTCCTAGAAAAAGTAGTTCCGCTGTGCCTAAAATACTAGGGGTTCAAAGAACAGGCATCTGATTCATCATCAAAAGGGATGGTTGGTCAAGCAAGGGAAAAGACTTTTCAGATGCTGCTTATATGCCCCATTTTCCATTTATTCTTCTGTTTACAGCCATACTAGTCTCACTACTTTTTCCTTTCTTTTGTTGAAGGTGCTTGAAATAATAGGAGCAAAATTTATAATATACAATGATAGTACAGTGCAGAAGAACTCAATATTCTTCTGTTTACAGCCATACTAGTCTAACTACTTTTTCCTTTCTTTTGTTGAAGGTGCTTGAAATAATAGGAGCAAAATTTATAATATACAATGATAGTACAGTGCAGAAGAACTCAATGAAAGAAAAAAGACTTCCTTTTTTATCGAATCTCGTAGTAACAGTAACTTGTAGCAACAGTAAGAAAATTCAGATGAAAGTGAAAAATTTCAAGCCAACTATGTTCCTTTTAATGAGAAAACAAAATACACCAGCTCCTAAATGCTGCTCCTCCCTTCCTTCCTCTCCCCATCTCATAAAAGAGGATCCCAAAGAAGGATTGTGCTTAAGGTTCCAGTTCAAAAATCTCTTAATGTGGTAAGAATTTTGAACTACAGAGCCAGGTCCCAACAAATATCATCTAAACTGAACAATCCATCCCATCCTGAAAGACCACATTATTGAGAAAGAGAAATTTACAACCATTGATATTCACATACATGTATTTAATTGTATCTGTTTACACTCAGCACCCTACCCTTCATTATCATCTCTAACATCTGGGCTTCACGCTAAGCAAAGGAAAGGGGACATGTTTCTAACTTAGTCTGTAAAAAGTGTGTGCAAAGAAGAATACACAGCATTTTTGCCTTACTGCCAGCATCCAAAGAAGTTGTATGTATCCAAGTTGTGTATACAATTTTGAAAATGCAAAAAAATTATAACAAACATCATCCTTTTCTGATTTTATAAGAGCTTCAGCTCTTCTTAGTTCTTTGCATTGAAGACCTCTTTTCACGTGCACCACAAAATGTTTCACTCGCTTTACCTTTCCAGTCTGTTTTACCCTTTGAGAAATAGATTTTTTTGTAAAATTTAACAAGACCCGTTCACAAATAACTATGTCCAGAATTCACATCAAAGAGAGAAGCAAGCTGTATTATTCATTCCATGGTAAACTACTAATAGTACAAATGACAATAATGAGCCAAATTCAGTAAGGTGCACATTCCTTGGATTTAACAGTGTTACAAAGGACAAACATTGCTACTCTTCTATATTTTTTTTTTTTGCAAAACAAACAGAGGACCAGAAAACGACAGAAAAGGACAGAGAAAGACAGAAAAATAAAAAGACAGGAACAATGGACTAGGCACATTGCTGCATTGGTCATGGCTTGTGTTTGAAAAATTAAATTTTTTTAGGACTTGTAATTTTTATATGACCCTGAATGACTCAAACACATGACTTAAAGATATAAGCTGTATCAGAATAAAGCTAAAAAGGACAAGAATGTAGACGTTTGTAAGTGTATGCAATTACACTGTAGACACACAGATGCACATATATAATGGCTGACGTGTTTCTACCTTAAATAACATATCTAGCTCTAGGTACCTCATTACCAGAAGGGTAACAACAATCTGAAGGTAGTTCAGAAAAGATCAATCCAAATGATTAACGCTATAGGAAGGACTTAAAAGGCAGAGTTAAAAACTCAATACTGCAGCTGTTTCACAAACGGTACTTCTGCTGAGTGAAAGGGGAGAGAAATCCGAACAAAAGCACTGTTCTCTAAATATATATATACAACTAGCAAAGCACTGACTTCAGAAAAACATGACTATAATCTGCTCACAACCAAGAAGAAACTACAAGAAGAGAGCAAAATTATTTATTATAAGTTCAAAAGTCTAGGTATAGTGAGCTTAAACTATTACAGGAATTTTTACTTAAAATACAGTAAGTTTTTGCTCATAGCAAGATCTCATAAACTGGGCATAACCTCACCAAGAAAAGGTAAGATAAGAAAGTAAAAATACTGCAGCAGGGCTCAAGCTAGCTTTGACAGGACTTCGACTAAGTAAACTAGAAGCTTCTTTCCCCTGCTAAGACAGCCTGATTCTATAAAATTATACTAGTAGCTACAAACACTGCAGGATGAGTGAATGCATGCTACACTCAATGCACACAAATAAATGATGAAGTGTTTTCAAAGCAGTTTTGAACAGCAATATTTTGTTTCAACAGATTAATAAACTAACATCTTTGCCTTGAAAAGGACCTTTCACATGACTAAATTTTTCAAAAAAATGAAACTAGTAGGAATAGGGTCCAATCACTGTTCAGGCAACAGACTGTCTTGTACAACCAGCACTGTTAAATAACATTACAGATTTAAAGACATTTTTATGCTCAGGTTGCTACTGTTACCATTAGTCAGCTAACACAAAGCATTCTATATAGCAATATCACTTATCTAAAATGTACTTTGAAATACAATAGATGGCACTTCTTCCCATTACATTAAACAGAAAATTTCTGCTTTTGACTGATAGAAAGAAGACTCATGTCGCCATTAAGTTTATATATATATATATATATATTAGATTTAATCAGAAAGAAAAAGGTGAGAAATGTATTTTCTTTGTTGTTAGGGCAATCCACTGCAGAACACTAATAACTTCACTCAGTAAGTAAAGTAAGTAAACTCAAAATGACTGAAGCACACAGTTTATGTGTAATGAAACATGATAGTTTTCACTGCATTTTACACTGTGATATGTCTTAGAAAGCCAGGGGTTTGGATAAATTGTAGATTATTAAACTGTAATAAACAAACTTGTCTCACATTTCCTTCTTGTCCCCTCCTTTAGGAGACACAACTGAATAGCAACTTCCAAATTTACTACTACTTTATTATTTTCTACGACTATTTTCCATTATGAAACCGCACACCTTGTCTAGTATTACTTAAATGTATCAGGTTATCATGCAGTTCAACACCTCTCTATTTTCACAGCTCTAAGAATATCTTTGTTTCCAAATGTGTTTTTTATTAACAACACTACTATGCTTCAAATGTTTTTCTACTATTTGAGAACCAAAAAAATCACATACATTAACATAAAATTACATTAAGAAAACGAGAGGTTATCTTTAAAGTAAATTTATAAAACTCTAAAGAGCAATTTCACAACTTAAAAAGATACAAACAAGGGAAGAAAGGGGGGAAAGGAAAAAGACTGCTCTTTCTTTGAGAAGTACTTCATGCATTTAGTTCTAAAGAGAAAAAGCAGCAGCAAACAGGGGGCACCCCATATGCCAGTATAAAGCAGGAAGTATAGGAATTCAGTAAGTTCACTATTGGTTTCTACACTTTGTACATAATTCCAAATGCAAGCAGCTATATGGAAGTGCAGGCCCTTAGGTGCAGGGCACATGTAAGGCAAGATCAGTTCACCCCACCACCCACCACAAAGAAACATGCCCCACCAATAGTTTCTTTAGAAGATTCAGCCACCCTTTTACTAACCTAATCAAAGGTATATGCTTTAAAAAACCCTGGTGGAAAGTTACCACAAAATAAAGCCGGGCCACTAAATGCAACATTAAAAGGGAATCACTACATAATCATTGAACATCGCCCTGCCCCGTCATTGCAAACGTCATAGAAAATGGACAACCACGTAAAAAGATGCATTTTTGCCTCCCTAACATGGCCCTAGCCAAACCCAAAATGGTCTCTTTACCTGATACCTCTCTTCTGTTCTCTGATCACAGAGAAGACGGGTGAAATTCAAAATAACATTGTTCCAACTGTACTTACAGAAGGACCATGCAAGGTCTACACATGCTCCTTCTTCATGAGCCATGGTACAGATCTCGGGAAAAGTTCCTTTATCATTTTGTACCTATTTTGCATTTGAAACTCCTTTGTGTGAAGACATTCATACCAGTTTCCACGTTCTAAACACAAAACCATCCACGCTGTTGAGCTTAAAAATAAAACCAAGGACCACCCCTTCTTTCCTCTTCAGCCTTACAGAGACGCTGCTTTTGGTCTGAATCCTTAATCGCTATTTTTTTTTTCCCCCAGAAAGGAATAATTAAAAATCAACCAACCAAACCACATACATGCTTCAGAGTATCACCACAGGGACGCTCTCAGGTCTGAATTACTACAAAATAACGCTATAATTATGTCTTAATTTCACTAACTAATCTCAGATGAGCTTTTAAAAAGTAATCGAGGTTTACAAGTAAACCGTTTAAAACTACTCATATGTTATTTGAATGAATCCCGACATTTAGTTATCCTTTTCCCAGCTTAATTTTAAACAGTTTCAAGGAAAGGCTTATCTGCTTCTGATCAGTCTGGTGACAAATGATAAACCTTAAAAAGTGTGACATTTGAAAATAAATAAAAACCACAGGAGACGTTTCTAACCAAGGAGAAAGATACGAGGAAACATTATCTCTTTACACAAATCTCCAGCCACAGAGACTAAGCACAATCTAACGACCTTATTTACTCAAATTGTAACGCTGCCAACAAAACCACTACCTAAGGCAACTTTTTAATTACAGATGTTCCTAAATACCTAGAAAAAAATAGGTTACTTCACATGAAACCAGAGTCCCACTGAACTCAACCAAATGTGGCAGGCTGAGATGGAAGACAAAAATGGGTCTTACTTGGTGTACAAAGACATCAACTGGAGACTCCAAGGGGCTTCCCTCTCGGTTGCTCATGGAGATGAACCCGAATCCCATTCTCACATTGAACCATTTGCAATGGCCGGTTCCGTGCAAAACCTGGGATTCCTCCTCTTCTTCCTGCTCCGGCAACTTTCCGGGCTCGTCTCCACCTTTACTCGCCCCTGCTGAGGAAGAGGGAAAGGCGGAGGGGGGTGTGTGTAAGGGGTGAGGGGGAAGGGGGGGGAAAGAAGGAAGAATGGGACAAGATGCAAAGCAAAGAGTTAAATTCTGGTAACATCCTTTTGCCGCTGTATAAAGGAGTTACTACAAACGGAACAGGGAAAAAAAACCAGGAAAACAAAGCAAAATCAAAAAGCCAACGACGAAAAGTGCATATATTTCCCTAAATCCTAAAATAAAACACCTTCTCCCCAAAATACGTAAAAAAATAAAATCACCGGAGGTTACAGAGAGGAAACACTGCGCACGGAGGCTCTCCCTCTCTCTGTGCCCAAGGCAGCCCACGTTTCTGTACATACGTGTATTTTTCCATTTAACTCCATCTTTCAGCCACATTACAGCGCGGAACGCGATACTTTACTTGAATATTGCTGGTTTAACACCGATCCCATTTCTCAACAGAAATTCTCAGCCCAATTAGTCTCTCCTCGCAAGGCGCAGGACCGGGGGGGCGAGGGGGGAGGCCGGCCGAGGAGGGGTGGAGGAGAGAGAATAAGCAAAATTGGGTAGATTGCACAATTCGTTATTGCACATGCAGCGCCGAAACCACTATTTTCTAACGTGTATCCATCCCTCCTTGGAATAAACTTTCGATTAAATTTGGGACAGGTGTACAGCCGTTTTCTCATCCCACCACTGCAACTGTGCTTAATCAAACAGGAACAATTCAAACAATAGCCCCCTGAAAGCTTTTCAAGTTGTGAATCGGTGTGGGCGGTACGGAACAGTTTTGAGCTGGGTAACAATGGGTTTGGAGAAAGCCCCCTTGCGCGAGCTGCTAAAAAAGGGTAATGCATAGTTGGGTTAAAAGCGGGTGGGGGAGGAGAGGGGGGAGAGGGGGAGAGAGCGAGCGAGCAAAATTCATAGTAAAACAATAGAAAAAGAAAATTAACCTTCGGCCATGTTGCCCCACGGGCCCTCTGCTCCAAACTCGTGAGATGAAAACTTTCCCTGTGGATCGAAGTGGTCTTCTGCATTAATCTAACATCCTGATTTTGAACGATCGCAAATTTAGCTCGCATGGTCTAATGTGCTTTCCCTCTTTGATTTTTCCCCGTCTCTCTCGCTCCGTTTCTGGCCCCCTGCGCACACGTGACTCGGTCAATTACATGCTTTCTTGCTACTAATTTCACATCGGATCCTTAAGGGGTTGGCAGGAGGCAGGAGCAGCCAATCGCCATTTCAACTAGCTTGACACACCAAAATAATTTATGAATGAACAAGAAGTTTTCAACACGGCGCTTTTTTTTTTTTTTTTTCTCCTTCCTTTTCGGACAGCTAATCTGCGCGCTTCTTTACGGGAAATAGAGATGACGTATTATTCTGGGGTTTCTGCCCCCCCCCCGTGCATGCACAAATCCATAGGAAGATCCGTGTGTTTCTAGATACAGCCCACGGAACAGCAGCTACATGTAGGGGCGGCCGTGCAGAGGAGATTATGGGGGTGTCTGTGCCCACTGCGGGCGGGGTCCGCGTACGCACACGAAGGCGAGATGCTCACGGATGAGGGACACACGTGTGTACAGACACGGACGGGGGACGCCGGGAGGCATCTGTGTCACCCTCTGCGCAAAACGTGGGCAGATGTATAACCGGATCGTTACTAATTTCGCATTCAAATTAAAAGCGCGCCGGAAACGCGATATCACCTTAATATGGCCCAGAATGTGCGGAGGTTTAGCGTTTCAAAACATTTCTGAAGGGGGGATGGGGCGAGGAATTGTACTTCACAGGTTTCTCCGCCATCTCTTTCCGGGGGAGGGGATGTGATTAATGACTTCCTAAATAAGAGACTAGTTTTCAAGCCGAGAATCGGACTGAACCTCAATCAGCAGTTGGGAGAGGACTGTCAGAGAAAAGGATTTACTGGAGAAGAGGAGGGCGGAAAAAACAAACAAACAAACAAAACCCTTGGAGAAAGAAGACAAAGAGGGGAGGAATAACGCTGACCGGGGGACTGCTGTTTTAAGTCTTCACTGCCAGCGGGAGAGGGGATCCAGTTCGGAAAAGAAATGTGTGATGGGTGAAAGGCTTGGTCACAGCCCCTTTGCAAAGGCACTCCCCTTCCGCGCTCACAGGTACACAGCTATCGCCCTGCCCTCTAGCCTTTCCGTTGCTGTACTCACCCCCAAATGCTCTTAAAATATTTTTACAGACGTCAGAATAAACAAACAGACTAATTAGGTGAGAATTCGTTTTATTTTCCATCTGTTCATCTCCGTTAGTGTAAAGGTACAGATGACAGTATTCTGTCCTCATCACCACCTCCTCGCATATAACCTCGCTTTACATCCAGTATTATATATATCTTAAAAACATTGCCCATACCTATTTAAAACCTGGGCTCAATGACTTTCTTATTAGCCCACTCCGTCCCGCCCGGCATTCTGTCTTATCCCAAGGACACACAAACAAAAGCCAAAGCAACAAACCGATCCGTTCAGAACCTGAATGCAAGGGACTTATGCATTTGCAAAGCACTTGCTGTTGTTTGGGAAGTGGCGTCGATCAGTCTGCCCAATTAAGGGGAACGCCTTTGCCCCCATGGGCCTGTTTACTCCTTTTGTTGCCTTTCAGGAAAGCGTCAATTCCCCCCCTAGCGCCTCATTTCTGTGTGAAACACCAAGTTGCAGGCTCCGTGTGATCGTTTGCAAGAAAGAAGTGAGGGTGGGCAAGAGTGTACAAATACAAGCAGCCTGGCAAGTGGAGCAGAAGCTTTAAATCCCGAAATTCCTTTGCAGTCGTCAACCGTAAATTTCCTATAGGTTATTTCAACAGTGAGGTCGACTTCCTACACTGACCTGCCTTACGCATTCGTACAACATACCGCTGCTTTTGGCTCATAACCTCCCTTCCCCCCTTACAATAGCGATTATGTTAAAATATTAAATCAGTAATTTTATATGCTTGGATCTTATGACCGGGACGGTATCTAATATATAAATGTACGAGATTTTAAGCCACGTGAAACCCCAGCTATAAAAATGAAATTAAGGTTACCGGAAGAAAACAATGTTTACACCACTTATGTGAAATGCCCAAGAGTACATATCTTGTGGCACAAGGGCACGTTTATAAAATACGAGATCTCTCTACCCTTCGAAAAGACAGAAAATATCCTCTTTAATGCCATTTTAAAGGTATTTATTTTTAAAGATTGATTTATTTTAACGACATTTGGTATAAAAAATCCTTAGAGGCTAGAATATTGGTTAAACAGACACAAACGAGTGGATGGAGTTCATTAAATGGACAAAATGTCTTGTTAGCAAATTTCAGTGAAAAAAATCAGTATGTGTTCTTCGATGAATAAAGACTACAAAACGACATAAATAAAAGACTGTAAATATATTGGTTGCAAATTATTTCTTACGTTGCAAAATAAGTGCAGATTTTGTAAAATGGAGGGGGGTGGGATTTGCAATGGGTCTTTACCGAGATTTTCAGGCCTCCAGTATTAGTGGAATTAAGGTTGGGGTCACTGGACTGGTCACTGGTGTCAGATGTTATCGACTCATTCATTTCCTGCAAGGGACATCAGCCTTTCAAGTTTTGTGGAAGGTAGAGAGCTGTTGCCAGCTGAGAACTCTCCGGGAAAGATAGGGGGGAAAAAAAAGGGAAAACTTAAAAAAAAACCCCAACCCACGAACATCCTTCCAAAATTCATTCCCAAAGAAGAGGAGGAAAGAGGACAAATAGGGAAAAAACCCTACAGAACAAGCCAGTTCGTGGAAAAATTAGTCTAATGGTAACAGTTTATCTATTAAAAAATATTTCTATCCTTACATTTCGCTAAATGGATGTTAATTTTGGTGAAAACAATTATAGGAAGCTGGAATAATTGTCTTTCTAACCCTAACCACCACTCCCCCCCCAAGAAAGAAAGACCTTCACCTCAAAAAACCCCAACAAACAAACAAGAAACACAAAAAAACCCGAAAAAACCCCCAAAACAAAATAGGAAAAAGAAAAAACCCCACAAAATCCAAACAAATGATGGAGCTGCCTGCATTTGAAACGAAACGCGTGTTTTACACTTGAAAGCAGAACTCGGGATGCTGCCACCACTTCCCATTTCAAAGCGCAGCCAGCGTTCCTCGCCGACGGGCAGGCAGGAGGGGCAGGGACGGCGCCGGGGCGCCCCTGCCCCCTCTCCTCCACTGCCCGGGCTTGGCTGCTCGGCGCCGCCCCGCCGATGTTGGACGGAATGAGATGCCCGTCGTGTTTCTTACACGGTTTCTATCGAAACCGGCTCTTCCTGGCGCGGGGGCCGAGGGGGGCCTTTCCCGCCGCTCCCTACGGCCAGGACTCCGTGTCGGTGCGGAGCTGTTCCCGCCAAAACCCTCTCACCTACAGTGTGGGCGCCAAAGCCGCCTTCCCTTTCCGCCGACGTGCAGCGCCCGGGCGAGGGCGGGGGTTGCCAGGGGCCCGGCGGGCTTCCCTGCCGGCAGCGGTTGTGCCGCTCGGGGGGAGGGCAGGGAGAGGAAGCCGCTTCCTCCGCTCCTCGCCCGCCGGGGCGCCCTGGAGGGTGAAAGTCGTGCGCCCACCGGGCTCGGGATTCCAGCGGCCGCGCTCCGTCAGCACCCCAGAGGCTGCGGTTTCTCCCCTTAAGCCTCCCATAGCGCCGGGCTTTGTCCCTGGGCTTTTGTTTCACACTTCCAGAAAATGCGGCTCTTTCCCGGAGGGGACGTGGCGGTGTGCCTTCCCGCGCCTTTGGGAGAGCAGGGTCGGACGTGCTATAGACACTGCCAACTTCCCGCTTTGCCCTGGCCGGGTTTGTTACCCTCCGTATTAATGCCGCGGATTATTATTAGAAAACATGTGTGCGTTTGGGTTTTTTTTTGTTGTTGGTGGTGGGTTTTTTGTGGTTTTTTTGTTTGTTTGTTTTTTTAAACAAAGCACAGCGCCGACTGAACTGCGCGCTGCCCACGGCTCAGGTCTACCAGTGACGGGATTTGCTCGACGTGCGACTGCGGGATGTGAAGTTACCGGTTTTATAGTGGCGCCCTTCGCACCACTCAGCTCTTTTCGGGAAATGCCGTTTCAGAGCGCAGCAGGGGCCTCTCTCCCTTCGCCCCCGCCCGCCGCTGGAGCACAGTTTTTTGGCTGTCCCGGCGCTCTTCCCCCGTCACACCTAAGGTGGGCGCGCAGGGCTGCCCGGAGCCCGCCTCAGCTCCTTTACGGGAACCGGGCGGCCCTCGCCGAGGGATCGCGCCGCCGTTTGCAGGCGGCGCTGCTCGAACTGACGGCTGGAGCGAGGTTTCAAACACGAGTTTTACGAGCATTTTTTGTTGAAACGAAACGCGGCGGCTGTGAGTGTCTCGCAGGTCCGCCCTGCCGTCCGTGGATCTCTGCTGGCAATGCTGGCGGTTTGCTGGGGAGACTTACAAAATACTGGGAATTGCTGTGATCCCGCGCATGATCCGCGGGCAGGAGGACGCGGTAGGGACTCACGCGGAGCGCTCGGATACAGGATGTGGTCTCACGTACATTACTGTCTCTCAGCTGCGGATTTGCAACTGATAGTGGCCCGACGGATTTAAGGAGGCTCTGGCAGTCGTCGCGGTAGACCGTCTGACAGGGCTAACGCCCCCCAAGGAGGACCGGCCCTCGCGGAGGCACCGGCCGCGCGGCCCGCTCTCACCGCTTCGCCTCCCGCCAGGTAGGCGCAGGGCCATGAGCGGGTGGGTTTGTGGCTCGGGCGCTTTCGCGGGGACCGCATCCTCCCAGACGGGCAACTGCCCAGACGCTCTCGCCTGCGCCAGCCCGGCGGTGACAGGGGCAGCTCTTCCCGCCGCAGCACACAGGCAACACCCGGCCCCTGCCATCGCCCGCCCCAGGCTATCTGTCTCCCGGCGCCATGCGGGAGCCGAGGACGCGCGTATCCCTCGGGCGCGCAGCGCCCTCCGCGGGGAGCCCCCGCTCGAGCATGCGGCGGCCCGGGCGGCCACGGAGGGTGCCAGGGCTGAGGGGTGGACAGGCTGGGGCCTGGAAAGGCAGTGGGGCTGAAAGGGCAGATGGGCGGCACCGCTGAGGCGTCGCGATGGGAGGGGGCTGCGTGGCGGTAACGTGACAGCGGCACGATAGTAACTCGAGAAGTAGGTATGTTAGCGACTGAGATGTGTGCGCCCACTGGTGCGTATGCTGCGGTGGTGGTCGTGCAGCGCTCATACAAACCCGTGGGGCTCCCACAACTTGCGACAGGTATCTGAGGGGGGGTTACTGTAAATAAGCTTTCCTTACGTAATTGTTTATTTGTCTTGCAGAAGCAGAACACTCAAACTGCATCAAAGAACAGCTCTGGAGCCTGTGCACGAAATTAACGAGTCTTCCCCCTCCCACCCAATACTTATGTTCATCAAAGTCAGCGGGACAGAAGTGCTGCAACTGACAGGGCTAACGCCCCCCAGGGAGGATACACAGTCAGCCATGTAAGATGCTACAGAGAAGACTGACCTGAGCATGAGGAGACCTTCTTGAATGACCTCATCGTCTTCTGAGGAACCTAAAATCAGAGAGCTGGAGTCAGTACCATGTACATTGTACCAGAGTACCATATTTAATTACTACTTCTCCAGTTTAATAGCTCATTGGGAGGCCAAGAATGCCAGGGCATTGACTCTATGAAGTGACCTATAAACTTACTCTTTTAGACTTACCTAGCTCATCAGAACCACAATGAGATAACCAAGGCGTAAGATAAAAAATCAGCCACTGCTTTTTTTTTTCCCTAGCACCAGTAAAGACCCTTTCATTGGTTTCTTACGAAAACTATGCAGTTGATAACAACAGAGGGAAAAGACACAGATTTGCAGAATATTTGAAGGTGTTTGTTTCCTTTATCAATAATTAATTGCAATAGGTAACCTAAGAACTAGCGACTTGTCTTTACTATGCTTAAATTGTACATATTAAGCAATCAAGTCATACCTTGTGTATGATTAAGGGAAAAAGCCCCAATAAAATAATTGTACAGGATTCTTTCATGGTCTAAATTATAACTCAATGCCAATTTATAAATATCAAAAGAAAATGCTTTCAATTATGTCAGTGATAAAACTGCATAGTAATGGTATTAAATTCTAGGTCTCAATCTGAACAAAACCAGTCCATCATATAAATACAGACTGTGTGACTCGACTGAAACTTCATGGAAGGTGTACCTTTGGTCTAGTTGAGAAAGGCCTGGCTAATTTCATAGAATGCTAATAAAAATATAATGCAGAAAAAAGCACTGCAGATGGCAGAAAGCATGAAGAAAAATACCTTGGTTTTGCAGTAAGTTTGTTACTTACGCTGCCCAGTTTGTTTACCAAATGAAAGATGGATAAGAGCATGCACAAACTCACCTGCCACAAGCCTGTCCTCTTGTCACCCTCTACTGTCTTTTTGAATAATCTATCTTAACTAAACCCCACCAAAATGGTGGGGTTTTGATATATGATATTTTGTTTAGATATAAGCCCAGTTCTCTACTCTTTCTGAGAAATCTGAGTTTTGTCTTCTTTCCAATTTAAAAGCACATCTGGACAGTTATCTTACTCTCTTATTAAAAAAAAAAATTAGATATCCTACTAGGAGTGAGCAAAGTAAGAACAAGAATGACCAAAGTCAAATGAAAACCAAATTTCTCTCTAACTTCTCTTCCCCTACAGTTAATTATCCTCAATCCTTTCCAACAACACAAATCAGAAGACAGGGTAGCAGAATCTTTCTTTTCAGTGCAACAACACTGGCAAGCTGATTCAGTTCCTCTTCTTTTGTAGTAACTTAGTTTTCCACTGGAATTGTGTGGACTTTTGCCATGTATTAAACCTAGCTCTGCTTTTACACCTTCAAGCACTGAAGCCCAATCTCTTGTATCTGTTTCTTTGTTCTGCCAACCTGTGGCTATGTGGCTTTTGTGTCTTTCAGATTTACTTGCATTATTTATGCAACATAATGAAATATGCAAGCATAGAGTAAAGGATCCGTTCTTGGCTTTGGCACGTAGCCTGCTTCGGTTTATGAAGGGATTGAAAATAAGTATTTGGGGAGTGGTACAGGAACTAAAAGCAGGGAAGTACAGTTCTTAAAAATTGTAGCAGAAAACAGCACAAATTCAAGTAATTCTTGTTTCCAGTACTGCCATTTCATAACACATTTGTAAGCATCAGACGTTTTAGAGGGTCAAAAACATATAACAGATTATTAAGCAGAAAAAAGATGTAATTTTTTTATAGTTATTACAAAAAGCTTCCTGATACGATGCCCAAAACTTGACTTAAAGGATATTAGTGTAGAAAAGCCTGGGCATTTCAATTCTGTAAACTCATTTAAACAGATCATTTAAACGAGAAACTATTTTGGCATGTATTGTGCTGCATCCTACTGAAAGAGGTAAATTCCATTTAAATGGAATCAGGTTTGGGCTCTGAAATGGCTCATGGTGAACTCTCTCCTGTGCCTCCTTATGCTGTACAAACCACAAAAACATTTTTGCATTTTAGTTCTGAAACCATGTCAGCATTTACATGAACTTTGTAACTGCAAATAAGTAAATAAATGCTGCTTAGAAATTTTGTACTAGATAGCAATGTGTTTTTAGAGAAAAAGTCCCTTCCTTTGAAAGCAACCCTTATTATAACTAGGCATTCATACCATGTGGAAGGATACTATAACAGTAGGCACAAAAATAATGCAACAGAACACCATATGGAAATATTGCTGGCTAGGAAATGGAATGAAAAGTGCAGTATGGGTTAAAGGCACACTGACAAACACCCAACAAAGGTAATCACCTTCCCTTACAGGTAGCACACTCTGTAATTCAGCTTACTGAACAACTTATGTAGTGTATTTTTTGACAACTTATTGGTCGGTAAAAAATAACAGCAAGTTTATATATATAAAAAAAGAATTCTCTTAGCTATGGATAGTTTTGAATTCATTAGCTTAAGTAAGTTTGCTGCCAAAGGATTTAGAAATACAATTCGCTTGGAAGAAAGTAAAGCAGGCATATATAGTTACTCCATTTAAGTAAGTTATATACTTTTCTCTAAAAGTAAGTTGAAAAAAAAAATTCAGATGTTAAGCCTGTTTCTTTCACAGTCAGGGGTAGCCAGGAGAGTGATTTCTTCCACAGAGTAAAGCCAGCAGTATTTTTTTAAGGAATGCTGGATAATGTAAGTATGATCAGAGCACAGGAAAACTAGAAAACAAAACCACCAATACTATATTTTATATCAAACAAGTGAAGGAATAGGGGAAAACATTCCAATGTTCAAAGGATTTCTTTTAGTTAAATCATCAGGAGTGAAGACTTAAATGGATGAATGCTGCAAAGCGTATACACAAAATTTTAAAACTCTTTGTACAGAACCCAAGCATAGAGCATAAAATATCAGCTTTTAAAATACATACACACACATACTAGTCAGATAAAATTAATCTTACTCTGATTTACAGTTCTTGACTGCTAGTAGAAGCACTATGCACACAGTATTTTGATTTCAAACACTACAGCTGAGTGTAGTCTTACACTCTGAATTAACTTGTTTTACATGGATTCCTCAGTGTGCAGTTCTAAATAATGGATGTCTTGCTGAGATGGTTTTATTGTATAGGCTCTTTTTTCCCCTTTTCATTTAATTCAGTAAAATATAGTTAGTTTGAAATGCATAAATAAGAAAAATTAAGATTTCCTGAAAATGTATACTCAAGTATCAATGTCCTTATATAATTACAGGGGGAGGAAAGTTGAAAGCTCTCACAATTTTCTTCTTAGTCTAGCCATAATTTACTTTGCTGTTCTTCCATACTTCTGTTTTTATACCATTCCTTTATTTTTCTAGCAAGTAAAGATGAAAGCAAGTGTCTACAAGATGACAAAATATTTAAATAATGCTGACGTAAGAAAATTAATTGAACAACTACCAAATTAAAATTTAGTCTTTCTTTGGTAAGTTTACCCACTTTTGTCACTGGATTGAAGGAAGATAATTACAGCTTCAAGTAAATAAATTAGCTAGGCAATAGCCCAGGTATGATTTTTTCCCTATATAGTCTGTGCATATCTTAGTTTTTAAGAAATGAAGTACACATTTTTGTAGAACAAACATCCAGTTATGCACCTTCTAACTATGTGTAAGAATGTCATTTGACTGAGAACAGGAACGAGGAAAGGTAAAATGTGCTTCCACCACTGTTATGAATCTGATTCTTTTGGGCATTAAAAAGGAGTTATAAACTCCACCATATCTGAATGTGAGCTAATGAAAGCCTGACAACTATAGGGTCAGAGCTTCTCCTCAAAATTAAATGCTATTATTATATTGACAATTGCTTTAGCATTAAAAACTATTTAGGATCTATTTCCTGGAAAATGCTGAACAAGAATACTTTTGTTTTAAGGATTGAAGTTACTTATGTATAATTCTCATATTTAGTGTATTTGATTTAGTAAAATCTGCAATTTTTTATAGTCTGCATTTGAATATACATATATTAAATTATCATAACTATTTAATTAAAAACAATGAAAAACAAATGTTTCAAACAATATTTTGTGATTCAAAGATGAATTTTTTAAATACACAATTTAAAAATTAAACACGTTATCCTTGACTACTGTTTTTCTACTTCCTTCATATTTAAAATAATTTGTTCTCAGTTTACAGTTAGCAGGTGCTTGTTGAAATTGCCACACATCGAATTGCTATACAGCAAAGGAAACAAAAAACTACCTTGTGATTTTATTATATGTTTTCAGATGGATTTTTCTTTGTATTTTTATATAAATTAGTATCAGTACCTTGTGACGAAGAAAACTTTAAAAGCCACAATTCTCAAATCATAGATAGATCAAAATATTTTTCAGAACTTGATCATTGATTTATTTTGTAATTGCTTATTCCTGTGAGAAACTAGATATAAAGATTTTATTTCCCCCCTTGATAACTATTTGCAAACAAAACAATGCCAAATGAAGTGCTGAAAAGATACATGTCGAAGACCAAAGTAAGAACGAGACATTATGACAAGCTGAATTAAATACTTAAATCTTCAAAGAAAAATGTGTATTTTTTTCCAGTTATCCTGATTACACTAAATCGAATGCATATTGTTCACATTCAATATAGAGATGTTACATAATCCCCTCAAAAGTGATGGCACTACAAGTTTTATTTTTAAAAATATATTATTATATAATTTTTATTTGCTTTTATAACAAATGAACTGGCTTGTTCAGATCTCTTTTCTGAGATGTTTTACATTAATACTTGTTTTGACGGAATTTACACACCTTTCACATATCTTTTCCTTTGCACAGAATTTTTGTTTTATTTCCATGTGCTATTTACCTACAAAACACAGAATCTTCTTTCTTCATTTTGGTTGGGGGTTTTTTGTCACTGAATTATTACTTGGAGCACTACTGGAGTTTTTTTATCATTTGTAGTTTATAACATGCTTATCAAATACTGATATGGATATTGTCTATTAAAATAATCAAATCAAACATCATAGACGTTAAACAGCAGATAAGTGTCCATATTTTAAACACCAATATTCACTTTCTTAGAAGTATGGATAGTACGGGGCACATCAGTCCTGAATGTCATGCCTTCTAATAGTCACTGTTTAAAACAACCAAACAAATAAAGTAACGCAATGGTCATTTTTTCATAAACTTTAGTGCAGATAGGTCATTAATTTAAATCAGGAAAAAAAAAGTAAACAGCAACATCAGTGATACATAACTAAAATTTCACAATCTCTAAAATAAAAGACGAAAACCTTTAAAATCAATGCACACATCAGTAGCTGAAGTAGGTACAGGAGATACAGAATCTGAAAGCAAAGCAGAAACTTAATGTGTGATACAAAATTATTAGTGAGTTTACAAATTTTAACAGTTGAATTTCTGGGAGTTAGCCTTGGGTGTTGCATTACTACATGTGGTCTAAATATGTATCAAATGTTATCTATAGAATATTTGTTACATACCTTTAGCACATTTATGAAAGCTTCGTTTAGTCTAAATGTGATATTATTAACATTGAATGAATCTCTTCAAATTGTTAAAAAACCCTGATTCTTAGACATTGCATATAATAAAATGATAATCACATACATATACGAACTCAACAGTCAGGTTTTAGGTCTGTATAATTACGGCACACTGACACACATAATGCTGCAAACTGGAAACAGGACTTGGGGGAAGTAAAGTGGTTTGCTAGAAATTGTAAGTGTGTGCACAAAGCCAAAATGAATGGACCTGCAGTTTAACTTTATTGAAATTAACAGTATGGATGATCAGGATAGATTTAATTTTTTTTGCTAAAATCACTGACAAAGCAGAAAACGGTTACACACTCCTCTTATTTCTCAAGTACTAACACTAAATACAGATTGCAGATTTTTCGATGTTAACCTAAGAAATATACTTAAATGCTTAAATTTAAGACAGACCCATTTTTGTATAAGTAACAGTAGCACAAATAATTCCATAATAGAGCTATATTCAAGAAAATAGGGAATTTTGTAAAACTACCTCTCTTTCTCTTTTAAAATTGACTAGTTAAATATTACAGTCCTCACTTTTCTGTATAATTAAGCTTTTGTTCAAGCATGAAAAAACTAGAAACTGATTGCTTGAAAATGAGCTGCATGACCTTTGTCCTGGTTTGTCACCTCTGACCTTTAATTTCAAGACCCTGCATATCAATTCATTCTATTTTTAGAAGCAGAATGTGTATTTTTAAAATTGTTATCCTCCCATACAAAACACATCATGTTGGGTTTGCCTTTTTTTTTTTAGCCTCTACTCATCACACCAGAGGAGAATATTTGCTTTTTATTGTGCATTCAAAACACCCAGTGTGCAATTACAGAAAATGAACATTTGTCTCTGCAATGAAAAAAAGCCTTTTTATTTTTATCATATACTAGAGAGGCTGAAGCACAGTAATATGAATTTAGAAAAATAATCTATGAGATTGCACACCTTTCTAAATTTAACCGTTTACTCTTAAAGAGAGGAAAAAAGGAGAAAACCTCATGCCTGTGTTTGCATTGCTGCTAAGGGATATCCACTTTTTTCCTGAACTTTCCCTGTATTATTTCATTCTCACTGATGACATGCTGTTTTGATTCGCTTTCAGAATGTCCTTTCATAAACTGAACCTGTGGTTAAAAATAGCAAATGCCAAGTTCCTGTCTAGTTGCTGGTTTCAGCTGCACTTCCATTTCATATAGGTAACGTTACACTTCCCAAGTTGGCTGCAAAAAAAATCTGTGTTGGTGGAAGGGCTCGTGTTCTGAAGGAGAAAGCACTGTAGTATTTGTCATTGATTTTGCTGCCAGCATTCGATACCAGAGCGATACAGTGTATTACATAAAGGCTGCGGGTGAGAGCACTACCCTGCCGTGACCTCCCTGCGCTGAAGCACGCGGAGCCGCCCAGGCGGACACAGGACGGGACGGGACGGCAGTCCGGACTCCGCCGGGAATAACATGGCCGCGAGGTTCAGCACCGCGGACAGCGCCGCGCCGCCCGAGAAGGGGCCGCGCCCGCCGGCCCGGAGGTCACGGCGCTGCATGGCCGGGACCCCTCGGGCCGCACGACCACCCCGCCGAGATTCGCCCGGCGACGCGGGGTGCTCGGCTCCCCGCCGAGGGGAAAATGGTTCCTTTGGAAACTGCCTCTCGCCCCAGCCCCTGCTCGGAGCGACGCGTGCTGCCTCGCCCGTCTGCCCCAGGATTGCGCTGCACACCGCGGGATTCGGCTGCAAGTCAAACAAAACGCTGCCACGGAGTTACAAAACAGGGAAAGAGGAACAAATGGTTTAATGGCTTGGGCTTCAAAATTCGCTTCTGTGCCTGGGGATGCAACGTGAAACGCTGTGTGTGACCTACAACTGCATCCTGCGAATGGCCTAGACTGCAGCTGTTCAGGCCTATGAGGGAGAGCGTTTGGGGTTTCCTTCTTCATTTAGTTATCACCATTTTCCCTCTCATGAAATTCTCAGCACACAACAGCTAAAACATTTTGAGATTAAAAAAATAAAGTTTTGATAAAACTGAGACAGCAGCACATGCCCTTTACAGAATATATTTTAAAATAATCAGAGTAGAAAATAGTTATTTTTGTCATAAACATACAAGCAGAGTTTCTAGTACAGCTGCATTTTTTTTGTAACTACTGCATGGGACAAACATCATCCATAATCACTATTTCTGCCATTACATACATGATTCATTTGACTACAGCATAGGAAACTTGACTTCCTGGCATATTAATAATTAAGGTCATGATTTAATTCAATATTGATTCTTACTACTCTGTACCAAGGAGAAAAAAGAAATCATAATCCTCTAAACAACCATAGCTTAGCTGCATATCTTCTAAGTAATTTTCCAAACAATTTTTTTTCAGTTATTATCTCCTCTGAAGCATTAGGGGTTTTTTTGGTGTGTTTTAAAAAATAAATAATCTGTAGTTTTGTAAAGCAAAGCATACAAGTATCAACCTAACAGTAAACATGCACTACTGCATTTCAGTACAGTGTTATATCCAGACATCACTAAAACTATACACAACTATATTTAAATGAACTATGTCCAAATTTAGCTGTAATTATTTTCTTAGTATCTGATGACATACTCTGTACTTGCGATTATTAATAGTGTTTCCATGCAAGACGTGAAATTCTAAAACAGGTTATTAGATGGGGGGAAAAAACCCCAGCCTTGTGTATGGCCTATTTAAAAAGAACACCAATACCAGTTACATAAGGAAAAAGTGTCAAGTCTGTAAACAAATTGGTGTAGCGTGCGCTACTGGTTTGTCCCATCACTGCAAGACAGTCATACATCATTTACTCATCATCACTAACAAGCTAACAATTTCTAAGAAAGAAACAAGTAAAATAATCAAATCTCTTTAAGTAATATGTCTATCAGATTATAGTGGATAATTCCCTCGTGTTAAAGCTAAAGAATATTGAAAATTAACACACAGTTTTCAAATTTATTTAGATACGCCAGATTCATATTTTTGTGCCAGCTTGGGCAAAACATTTGCGTGCATTACTGCTGTTTGCTTATTTTTAGATTAATTTAGTCATTCGCTAGGTGGTTATCTGACCCGCTCTATGGTTTGCTCAGTAATACCACAGCCACATGGAACTGCCGGCGGTCGTATATGGTCGCTCCCCTTGGAGCGCGGAGCCGGAGGATGCCGCTGCCGTGCCCCCACCAGGGCGGCGAGGGCCCAAAGGGACCCTGCCGCCGCTCCCCCCGGGCGCGCAACCGGACACGGAGGTACGAAGCGTGTTGGAGGCACGTCGGCACTTTATTTATTCTCCCCCGCGCTGCGTCCCGCACCGTGCCCGGCACCTCAGAGCCAGCCACGGGGCTCCGTGTCACAGTCTCCCGGAGAGCCCGCCCGCCCTCGGCCCGGCGGGGCCGCGCTCCCACGCAGGTCCCCGGCGCTGTCCTCGCAGCCCCGGCGGGGGCGGGCAGCGCCCGGCCGCGACCCCGCGCTCCCCGCGGCGCGGCGGGAGCCATCCAAGATGGCGGCATCGCCGCCACTCGCGTTAAACACCCCGCATCGCGCACACGGCGCCGCGCGTGACAAGCGGCCCCCGCCCGCCCCGCCAGTGTTACCGCCGGGCGGCCGAGCCCCGCGCCCTCCGGGGCGCGCCGTCGCCGCCCCATCCTCCGCTCCCCGGCCGCCTCGGGGCGGACGCGCCGCCCGGCGGCTCCTGTCCCGCCGTCCGTCAGCTCTCCTCGCCCGGCCTTCCCTTCCGCCGGGCCGCGGGCGCCCCGCGCCGCTCCTCGCCCGCCCCGCCCGGCCGCGGCGGCTCGCCGGGCGGTCACCGCCATCCGGCGGTGGCTGTCGGCGGGGCGCGGACCGCCCCCTGGCGTCGGGCTGCCGTAGCGTCCCCGCGGCCGGTCCCTCGGCCCCGGCCGCCGCCGGCTCTCGGCGGGGCGCTACGCCCCGCGCCCCGCTGGGCGTGGGGGGCGGCTTCGTCCCTTCACCATTCCTCTACCGCGGCTGCCGTCGTCGTTCGCGTCTGAGGCGCGGCGCGGCCCGGCTCCCCCTTCCCCCGTCCCGGCAGCTCGGGCGCTGCCGGCCGGGGGCGGGCGGGCGGGCTCGGGGGCAGCGCGGCCGGCGGAGGAGGGGGCGCGGCGGCGAAGGGAGAAAGGTGCGAACCCGGAAGTACACCCGCCCCGCCGCCGCCCGCAGGGAACACCCGCGCCCGCACACACAACAATGCGGCGCCGCTCCGCCTCCGCCCAGCCCAACTTTTCCTCCGGCACCGGAGAAACCTGCCGGCCGCCCCCTCCCCGCGAGCGCCTGCCGGCGCCCCGGCAGGTGCGGCGGCGGTGGGAGGGCGAGACCCGCGAAGGGGGAGGTGAAGGGGGCTCGCTTACCTCCCGCACGCCATGGTGGCCGGGCTGAGCGGGGCTGCGCCGGCGGCTGCCGCGATGGGGAGGCGAGCGCGGGGGCTGGGGGGACACGCACCCACCGACGGGCGCCCCCGGCGGGGGGCTTTGCCTTCCCGAGCCACTGGGAGGACTGAACGGAGGAGGAGAAAGCGAGCTGAGGCGGCAGAGGCAACCGGTGCTCCCGGCGGGAAGGCGGCGGCAGCAGCAGCAGCCAGCGAGGAGGGGCGGCGGCGGGCAGACACGGCCCCGGCGCTGGCTCACGCCGCCGCAGCCACCGCGCACCTGCCCCGCCGCCCTCCCCGCGGGCGGGCGGGCGGGCGGGCGGGCGGCACCGGCGGCTGCGCGCGGGGGCGCTCCAGGGCAGCGGGAGCCGGCGGGCGGGGCGGGGCGGGGCGGCCGCGCCCCCGGGACCCGCCCGACTGCCCCACCGGGGCCGACACCCGCGGGGGTCGAGGGCCTGTTCCTCTGGGAGCCAGCCCCGGGGGCCCCGCTCACCACATCCAGCCAACCACCTTCTCCCTCAGGCAGCTCCGTGGCTGCGGATCGCGGAGGCCATTTGGCACCTGTGATTGCGCCCGGCTCCGCCGCCCCGAGGATTGGACTCCCCAGCTGTAGCTGCAGGTGTGTCGCTGCTCACCCCAAATCTGCCGCTGGAGGTGGGGCATCAATCCACGTGTGTGGAGGATCTTGCACATCTTCCATGACCTGCTTGTGGTGGGTCTCACAATGTGCAGTCCACGTCCACAAATCAGGTAGGATTCTAGCTGTGAAACTGTCTCATCCAGAGCTTGATGGTTCCCAGTTGTCTTGCACCATGATTGGTTTCCTTTTGCGGCATATGAGACCTTATTAATCCCAAAGTTTCATTTTTCCAGCTTATTCTGAGTTACCCACAAAATACCCCAACGGTGGTTTACATACTGTCATGAACACGATTCACCCAAGTGTATATAGGTAATGGTTCTAAAAATAGCAGGGTTAACAAAGGTTGGCTACTTATGGGTCAGTGTTCCACATAATTTTTCCCTATCCACTCTACATAGGCTTCAGTAGCTTCCTACATGCAGTAGCAAAAATGGAGGTGGTTTCCAGCGGTGTGGTTCCTCACCCAGGACCATGTGCTGGGGATTAGCCAACTGGTAAGTCAAGCAGTAGGTAACCAGTGAAGTCACATGTTCTTCCATCTGGTGGGGACACTGATTAGAAGCCTTATTTTCCTGACTTCTGATTCTCATGGCACTTAGTATATTTGGGTCCTTCATGTTGAATTTGGCTGAAATTGTAAAAAGGGTTCAAAAGTTATTTGAGAGTAGAGAGATGGATAACAAACAGAATTGCATTTTCTGAAGAGAACAAGATAAAAATGCATCATGTGGTAAGGATGGCTTTTGAAGTGCTCATTTCCTACACACTGTTGTGCCCAGTTCACATACAGTTTTCTATCATTAGGCATTACTGTGCTTGCCTTGAACTTGCCATTCTTGGGCTTTCCTTTGTGGATTTAATTTTTGAGGGTACAGAAAGACTTTAAAGAATTTATCAGCACTTTTTGAGTCTCAGGGCCAAGTCAATGCTAAAATACCTAGTGTACATAGCTTTCTAATTTCTTTTTCACAAAAAAAGCTTTACACAGAATTTTGCTGTGTGATGTTAGCCTGTGATTAAAGCAGCTATGGAGCCTCTCATGCTTTCAAATACTGTGCCTTACTTAGCTCAGAAAGGTTTTGTGTTGGACAGAGACATATTTCCACGGCTCATAAGAGAAGCCTTCCAATGACTAAACGACACTGTTCCACTTAGACTTCTTTAGGCATAGTCCTAGAAAGCTACTTCATTCATGTTTCACAGATGAGATTTAAGTACCCACATTTATCTAGAGCTCCTAATGCTTGACTCTATTACCTAAAATTTAGTGCACACTCTGTGTTTATATATAAATCTACTCCAATATATAACTATATTACCTTAACAAAGCTCAAGGTGTATTTTGCTAATAGTTTGAGACTGCATGAGACTTTTCTGGAAAACAAACAAACAAATCCAAACCATGTTCAGAACTTGATTTCTCACTTAATTTTTATTTATTTCTAATAGATGAGGAAGAGTTCCTTCCTGGTCCCTGCTATTTCTGCTGAGGTATTTATTTTTGCAGAAAAAGAAACTTCCTCACCTGCTTTGTTTTTGTGCCCTCAGCACATAATATAACCTAATTTTGTAGCAAGTTTATATGAAACGAGTTATATACAGAACATAAGCAGAATTGAACTCTTTCAATAAATAACTAAACTGCGTACAGGCTGTGAAAACACTGCACATTTTATTCTATTACTTTCATTTTCTCAGCTTTTTTCCACTGGTCTGTTTATAGGGTTTCCCCTGAGAACTTGGGGAAATATTTGGTTTTGACCTGTGCAGATTATAGAGTTTTAAGAAGTTTAATGAGGTATGGGATTTTTTTCTTAAGGTGACCTGTTAAAGTGACCTGCCATCCTTGGTGAAAAATTAAAACCACTGAAGATGTTTTGCAAAAAAAAATTAGTTCTTGAAAAAGCACTTTTAATTTTTCATGCTATATGTTTCTCTCAAAGCAAAACAAAACATTTAGTCTATTTGTGTTGTGCCACTATAAAAATAATTTCTGGAATAGCTCATGATAATATGTCATAAAATAATTGTGTATAGTATTTTTCTAGTGAGGTCTACTAAAGATTTTTCACTTTAGTAAAAAAAAAGTAAAACAATCAATAAATAGTACTATTTTCCATTCTGTAATGATGACTCCAACTGTGGAAAATATTCATCGAATGTTTGAAAAGAAGGAGCTGAGACATCGATCTTGGGGGGAGAACTTCTCAGGCTCCAGGTAACATCTGCAGCACATTCCCAGGTTTTGAACATCAGTTTAAAGCCAGATGTGTTAGATTGAGAGCAGTTTCTCCTATTCCACCTGCACTTCTACTCAGAGCAGAGAGTACATTTACTCATTTTGTCCCGCAGAGAGTCTTCTGTTCCTTCAGTTTTCCTGTCCTTCCGCATTTATCCTCTTTGTGTTCTGCTTTGATTATGCTATGTTTTCCTTCCTGATGGGATCATTTGCCAGTTGCCAGACCCTTCATTACTCCTGCTTTATGCCACCTTCATCAGGGTCTGAGTAGGCACTTCTTGGAGACTGTGTATAGGTTTCTCTGCAATACTTCTATGAACTGCTGTTTGTTATAGGTGGGTGTGGTTTTGTTGGCTATAACTAAAATTGTTTAAAAGTTTCCCACTATAAGACAGCCTTCCAGTTGCTTGTATCTTTGGCAAGCTAGCACTTTGGTATGAAATTTTTCATGTTTCCTCTTATAGCCTGTTTACATTTTTCCCCAGTCATTTCCAAGAAGAAGATTAAAAAATATGTATTCGGTCCATGTTTAGATATTATTTTCCAAATGATCTAATGGTGTGAACATTTAGAACGGGCATTTCAAATCTGGTGTAATGGCAGGAGAATATATGGTGTAATGGCAGGAGAATGGCTGAGCTATAACCCCTTGCCAAATCACAGTTTGAATGACTTTCCTAACTGCTAAAATCTAAAAAGCCTGGGATCCAATGAAAACCCAAGTCACTTCCAACACTGAACACCAACCAGCCAATGTGCTCGGGGTCTTCTACAGTATGCGTAGTTCACATCCTACTCCTTGTCCAGGCTACATAATCTGAGGGAAAATTTTCTATGGATGCTTTTAGCTGCACCTTTTCCCCAAATGGTTTTTGTTTGAGAACTAAGAACAAGGAATTTCTCTCTCTTATCCTTTTAGTGAAGCTACTGCTAACACCCTGGAAGCACGAAGGAAGATACTGTATGAGTCAAATGCAAGACCAGGATGAGGAAAAGAATTAGATTAAGAGGAAGAGTCTTCTGAGATCAGGACTGTTGAAGGGGCAAAAAGCTAAGTCTAGAAACTGGGGAGCAGAGGCAGAGACTCGCTGCCAAAAGCATTTCACCTTGTATCAGCGTGTCTATTTGCCAACATAGTGAAATCCACAATATGTAAAGATGAATTAATGAAGACTAGTGTTATTGTTGGCTGGAAGAGCTGTCATACATATCTGCAGGAAGTAGCAGCATCTCTGCTACTAGTTGTGCGGGGCAGGGACCAGGGAGACTGATTAGAAAACCATGAGGGAAGCGTGGGAAGTTAGTGGGTGAACAGAATACACTAAAAGAAGAAAGATGTAAAAGGGTCTGGGAATGCAGTGGAGAAGGAAAAAAAATATTTAGAGGCTTGTCTGTAAAATGGGGATTACAAGAGTATTGAAATAGATTTGATAAGGAACTGTTGCATATGAATGCCGGACAGAAACTTGGGAAAAACCTGAGAGTGGAAACAGTATACGCAGCTGGTGTGGAGGTCCTGTGTGCATCCCCCCTTTTGGGTGTGCAGCTGCCTGGGCTCAGGGCCAGCATAGAGATGGTATACCTTGAAGCCTTGAAACAAAATGCTAGAAGAAACCCCAGTGAGAGCCTATTGTTCCTTCACCCAGGAGCTGGTTTTAAGATGAGGCTGTCACCATTGTGGCTCAAGCTCCATCGCAGCTGCGCTGAAGCCACGGCCATGCCTGTTGATCTGGACCCTGACAGGTGACAGGCTTGACCTCAGACCTGCCTCATTCCTATGGACTTGTATGGCTATTTGGACTCTTGTCTGGCCTTGGTTGCCACCAAGAGAACTGCTCTGCAACATTGTCAGGCAGGCTCCAGTCTGTTATGACCCGCCCCAGAAAAAGGGGAGGGGGGTAACCCAGGTTCTTATCAATAATTTCTTTGGGGTGGATTAGAGTGAAACGACACTGAATAATCTGAAAACATATATAGGTAAGGTTTATTTCAACAATTTTGTTTCAGCAGGTATGTTAGCATTTTGGGTGTTATCATCTATATCATCTATAGCAATATGGCATAGGGATAACCTCTGGGGAGGAAAATGCATAAGGGAGAGAAAGGAAAGACAGGATAAGGGTAAGGGAGAGTAAGGGAAAGAAGAGAGTGAAAAGATGTATATAGTCACCGCACACGGGCTCCAGCAATGACACTTGGTAGTTGCTGCTTCCATGTCTGTCAGTTGAAGTGGTGGCCTTGATCTGTTGGGGGTGAAGGAGGGAAGCCCCCACACTCCAAGAAGTTATGAGTTATTATATCCATGGTTAGTGTCACAGGCCATGCCTCAAGCCTCCAACCTCTCCTGGGCCTGCGCAGAGTTTCTGTGTGT